TATAAATTGAAAAAGCAAAAAAAATTTTTTTTTTCATCAAACGCATTTTCCAATAGACATCTGGTGACTGTTTGGCTGTTAATTGAGTTCAATAAAGCCTAGCCTTTAAAAAAAACACAAAATAAAAAAAAATTAAAAATGATAGGTTAAACAAATAAAAAGAACAAACAAATAACAGCTAAAAAAAGATAAACTAATCTGATAACACAATTGAAAATTCAATTTTTCCTTCCTCCTTATTTTTTTCCCTGCTTGCAGCTTAGCTTCTTCTTCGCCTTCTTCCCCCTCTATCAGCCATTCACCCCCAAGCTTCCTCACCGTTTTTCATCCTTATGCCGCTTCCTTAATGAAAACTGCCGTCGTCTATTTGTAATTAGTGCACCCAAACGATGAACGATGTTGTCAAGGTGATTACATATTGCTTTCCTACTTACACCCTCTCCCCTTGCCTCCGTTAGCTGCATATATCAACCTCCGTGTCATAATGTTCATTGTTCTTTTATTTTCAGTATACCACAGTCTGACAAGAAAAAGTAAAAAGTTTACCTTTCTGGATAAATTCAAATTAAAAATATATTTATGTTTTAAAAACCAAGCAGAACCCCCTCACCCCACCCTCCGGTAATCGCAGAGTTACTGCAAAGAAGCCTAAAAAAGTATGAAATTGACAAGAAAAAATTAGTTGACACCATCAAACAATTAAACCAATACCTCAGCAAACTTTGAAAAATACATTTAAAGTGCTGGTTAAATACTGAAAGAAAAATTCAAAATCTTTGCTAAATAAATACAATGAAATTTAGGCAACAAAAAACAGCAAACACGGTAGATTCAAATACACTGTGCATCATCATCAGCAAAACGTTTCACTAATTCAACCATCTGTTTTAGTTGTTGCTGTTGTTGCTGGTATCAGATTAATGCCAAAATAAATTAATGGTAGGTAAAAGCAGCAGATAATGTTGAACAAAACCGTTGAATAGTTGAAAATTCCAAAACTCTAAACCCTAATGATAGAAAAACTTAGACAAAACTTGAAATCATACATTGACAAATATATACGCAGAAATTTGTAGCACAAACTGTGCAGTAAAAAAAAACTGGTGTTCTCAAAAAAAAATAAATAAATAAATAAAAACTTGTAAAAAAAATTTTTTTTTAACTTTCCACTAACAAACCAAACAAACAAATAAACAAACAAACGACAACGACGAAACACCTTTGATAAAATTGCAACAATTTACAAGTAATTTCATGTTGGTTGAGGCAAAAAAAAAAAATAAAAAATAAAAAAAAGGCTTTGAAATAAATAAATGTTAAAATATGGAAACTAGAATTGCATCCGGTACTTTTCATAAATAGAAATTTGTGTGTGTTCGTGCATTTTTTTTTTTTT